AAATCAAGGGTCAATGACAATAGTGGCCAGGAGACGCGTGACAGTAGGACTAGCAGCACGAAGGGAGTCGGACTTTGCGTCAGTAAGAGCACGAAGAGAAGACGTCGGAGGAGACGGCAAAGGGACACGATGTGGAGGAGTGGAAGGACGCAGTGTCATCTGGTGCGTGCCTGGGAACGTAGGAGGACGCTGACGCGGAACACGACGACCAGTGCGAGCAGCACGAACAGGCGACGCAGGACGAGACTCAGGCTCACAACGCTCAGCAAGACCTTCAGTAGGACCAGTGTATGGAGAAGGAGCAGGCTGTGGGGAGGCCAGCTGTAACTATGACTCGGACTGGACAGGCGATGGACACTCTAAGGAAGGAGCAGGACCAGTAGAAGGCGGGAGACCAAGAACGTGCTCAAGGAGCGGAACGAAGTATGGCCCTGCCCACGCAGCACCTCCTGAACCTGCAGGGACAGCACCAGCACCCCCAGCGTCAACTCCAACTTCACCAGCACCACCAGCTCCAGCAGCACCACCAGCTATAGTACCCACAGCAGCCCCAGCTCCAGCAGGACCACCAAAAGACGCAACAGCTCCAGCTCCAGTACCTCTAGCAGCACCTACTCCAGCAGCACCGCCAGCTCCAGCACCTCTAGCACCAGTAGCACCACCAGGCCTGGCAGCTCCAGTACCTCCAGTACGAGCACCTCCTGGACCCGTGGGTCCCAAACTCTCAGTAGCCCCAGCAGCAGCAGGACCTCCAGTAGCAGCAGAACCTCCAGCGTCGGCAGCACCACCATCTCCAGCAGCACGGCTCTTGCGCCGAGCAAACCACTCGTGCAGCTGCTGTGGAGAGAGTACCTCAAAGGACTCGAAGGACCTCCAGGCCCAGCACTGCCAGACTCCACATGAGCAGGCCCAGCACCCTCAGGCCCAGCAAACCCTACAACCCCAACTAGCGTACCACTCATGAAGCTGCTGGGGCGTGAGGGACTCACGGGGACGGCTCTGGAGCTGCATCTGGCCACGCTAGGAGCAGCAGTAATAGTAGAAACAGCAGTAGCAACAGTACAAGCAGTAGCAGCAGTAAAAGCAGTAGTAGCAGTATCAGCAGTGGCAGCGCAGGCAGGGCAGTGCTCACCAGTGGCGGGAAGGACAGGCGCACGACAGCGGCGACGGTGGGGCCGCTACAGCTGTAGGGCGGGGGCTCCGCGGCAGCTGCTGAAGGGGCGGGGCCGCGACCGCGGTAGAGGGCTCCACGGCAGCTGCTGCAGGGTGGGGCCGGGCCGCGACGGGAGCTGCTGCAAGGCGGGGCAGGGCCGCAACGACAGCTGCTGCAGGGCGGGGCAGTGCCGCAACGGCAGCTGCAGCAGGGCAGGGCAGGTCCGCGACGGCAGCTGCTGCAGGGTGGGGCAGGGCCGTGATGACAGCTGCTGCAACTGCTGCTACTTGAGCAGCAGCAGCAGGTTAGCACTAGGTGTAGCAGTAAGTAGGAGCAACTGCACCAAGTAGCAGCAGTGGTAGCAAGTAAGAGCAGCTGCAGCAAGTAGCAGCAGCGGCAGAATGTAGGAGCAGCTGCAGCAAGTAGCAGCAGCCGGCAGCACGTAGGAGCAGCTGCAGCAAGTAGTAGTAGTGGCAGCAAGTAAGAGCTGCTGCAGCAAATAGAAGCAGCGGTAGAGCAGCAGCACAGGCGCAGTGCAGCGTGCAGGCCTGGCGTGGGCTGTACTAGCCGCGCACGGGCCTGACGTGGCCTGTACGGGCTGCGCAAATGCCTAGCACGGTCTATACGGGCCGCGCGCGGGCCTGATGTGGCCTGTACGGGCTGCGCGAACGCCTAGCGCTGACTGTACGGGCCGCGCACGGGCCTAACGTAGGCTATACGAGCCGCGCGCGGGCGTGGCGCGGGCTGTACGGGCGGCGCGAAGGCCAGACGGAGGCTGTACGGGTTGCTCGTGGGCTACGCGCGACAGGACAGGGCAGGGCCGCGGGGTAGTGAAAATCGATGCACCTAAGGGCGCATTTCGGGCAGGAACACAGAAGGTTTAACGGTGGGCCCTAAAAAAAATCGTCCTAGGCTAGGAACGTCCTAGCTCTTAATACCATATAAGAATAGTATGAAGGTATGATGGAGATTAGGGCAAGGAGGGGGATACAAAGAAGTGTTGAGCAAAATTCTGTACCCCCTAAGGCTAAACCCACTACAGCCTAGATAACATTAAACATATAATTTGACATTGCATTCCGGTGACGGTGTTGTCGTGGCGATGCTGCGGGATGACTTCCTGCAGTTCGTCGTCGTCACTCTCCGGCTCAGGTGGAGCTTGTGGTGCTGCGCCTCTGCCGCTTCCGCTTCCTCCTATTGCGCTCGCTCCTCCTGCTGCGCCCGCTCCTCCTTCGGACGAGTTGTCGTCGTCGTTGTCGTCGTGATGATCGCTTCTTGTGAACTTGCCTCTTGTGTCTTGCTCTAGGATGGCTGTTGCAGCTTCATCCTCCGGCGTGGCGTACCTGTGCCCGTCATTGGTGTAGACGCGATTCGCGTTTGCCTGCTCGTCTTCACGGAACTGCTCGAGGAAGAGCCGCTCGTAGAAGATGATGCAGCGTGCGTTCTTGATTTTGCCGAGGTGGATTCCCCATCGCGCGCGGCTCTTGAATTTGCCAATGGTTGATGTTGGCGGGCGATACTGCACCATGCACCCCCACACGTGGAGAATGGATGTGTCGCCCTTGGTATCCGTCCATTTCACAAGCGGGGAAAGGTTGCCGATGATCGCGGTAGTTGACAGCAGATTGGGCACCCGCACGGCGTGGTACATCGGGTACGTCTAGTAGATCGGCGGAAGCTTCGAGTGCTTCATCAGCGCGCGCACCTTTGTCATAAGCGTGCGATTTGTGCGCTCGGCTACGCCTTGCTGCTAATGCACGTAAGGGAGAGAGATGTGATGCTCGATCCCCTTTTGCGCAAGATAATTCTACAGCTCCTTGCTCTTTTGCCGTCAGACTGCCAAATTTTCAAACTTTCTCCAGATTGCCGTAGCGCGTGCGCCAGTCACAGGCGGAACACTTCGTATGCTCTTCTGCGTGCCTCCACGTTCACAACCCACACATAGCGCGTTCTGACGTCGACGAAGGTGAGCGTGTATAACTCGTCGTCGATTCCGCAGTGTCTTACGTTGAGAAAATTGTTGAAGACTTTCTCCAGTTTAGCGTAGCGATTGGTTCCAGGTTCGAGCAGGGGGAACGGTTGTTGGCTCAGCGCGGCTTTAGGGCAGACGATGCTGTTGCGTGGATGCGTTTCGCCTCTTACTTCGGCACCGTCAGGGCGTAGGAGCACGTCAGGTGCGAACACGTCAGCTTCAATGCAGTTTTTCAGTGTGGCGCGCAAGTGGTGACCGAGGCGCTGGTGCCAGATTGCATCGTCGGCGCGGAATCCTGAAGTGCGCATGTAGCGCACGCGTGCTGCTTCCGGATCTTCTTCAGGTACTGGGGCAGATTCTCGTGCTACCTCTTCTTCTTCCTCGTCCTCGTTCGCCGTGGTCAGCATCAGCGCAAGAAATTCTCTGTCGCGAATGATGGAGTAGGGGATATTGCTCCCAGGGATTGTTCCAAGGACTAATGTCGGTTTGCGCGGCTCGGGGGCAGGCCCGTAGACCGTGTGTCGCGGGGTAGAGGGCTCATTGTGTTAGGCATATATGCTATAGTCTGTGTAGGCTGTAGTGAGGCAGTTCGTATGGGGTACAACACTTTAGGGTTTACTACTTGTACTCCTCATTATACTCAATGCACTCATTTTCCTCATTTCTTATCATGGTATCGAGCAGGTTCCCTGGTGGGAACGTTTCCTAGGGCCCACCACGGTAATTTTTTTCCTGCCCGGAGCGCGCTTCGCTCTTGCCCGAGTCGCGCTCTGTGTGCCCTCCCTACCGTCGCGCCCTCTCATGACCCCTTTGCGTCGCCTTTAGCGGCCCCTCTCACGGCCCCTTACGCCGCCCTTACGGCCCCTCGCACTGCCCTTTACGGCCCCTCGCGCCGCCCTCTACGGCCCCTCGCGCCGCCCTTACGGCCCCTTACGGCCCCCCGCGACGCCCATTGGCCCCCCTCGCGGCGCCCTTACAGCCCCTTACGGCCTCGTCGCCGCCCCGTCTAGGCCCCATACGGCCCCGTTGCCGCCCCGTTTAGGCCCCTTACGGCCCCGTCGCCGCCCCGTCTTGGCCCCTTACGGCCCCGTTGCCGCCCCGTCTAGGCCTCTTGCGCCCCCCCCCCCTCTGCGGCCCCGTCTAGGCCCCGTGCGGCCCCTCTACGGCCCCGTCTAGGCCCCTTGCGGCCCCTCTTCGGCCCCGTCTAGGATCCTTGCGGCCCCTCTGCGGCCCCGTCACCGCCACCTGCGGCCCCGCCGCCGCCACCTGCGGCCCCGTTGCCGCCGCCTGCGGCCCCGTTGCCGCCACCTGCGGCCCCGTCGCCGTCACCTGCGGCCCCGTCGCCCTCCCCTAGCGGCCCCGTCACCGCTCAGCCGCCCAGCGACCGAGCCGCCGAGCAGCCCAGCAGCCGAGCCGCCCACCAGCCGTCGCCGCTGAGCCGCCCAGCAGCCGAGCCGCCCAGCAGCCGAGTCGCCCAGCAGCCGAGCCGCCGAGCAACCGAGCCGCCGACCCGCCGACCCGCCTCGCAGCCAACCGCCTAGCAGCCGAGCCGCCGAGCCGCCAAACGCCCTACTGTTGAGCCGCTGTTGTTCCCGCTGGTGCGCCCCGGCCCTACTTACTCGGACTGGTGAGATCATTCCCTACTAGGCCACTGCAAACATGGCTACCCCCAGTGTCCTTACCTTTGATGCTAAGGGCCGTGCCGTTGACTTTGAGGTCTAGATCGATGATCTCCAGCTGTCTCTACAGTGCGATAGGGCAGACGGACTCTCTCTGTTCGATCTCACCTCTGGTGTTTCTCCCGCCCCACCTGCTACGACTGACAGCACTGTTCGCTCACAGTGGGCCATACGCGATGTTGCTACTTGCCTTGCTATGCGTCGCCACTTACCGACCACTGAGCGTGCGCACTTTAGCAAGTACAAGAGTGCTAAGACCTTGTACGACGCTGTAGTTGCACGCTACTCCTCCCTTGCCACTGCTGCTCTTAGCCGCCTCATGCTGCCGTACCTGTTCCCTGACCTTGCTGCTTTTCCCACAGTCACTGACCTTATCACTCACCTTCGCACTAGTGGCATTCGCTACCGCACTGCGCTTCCCGCTGAGTTTTGTGCCAAGAACCCCCCCCCCCCCCCATGTACATCACCCTCTACTACATAGTCACCCGTCTCCCTGACTCCCTCTCAGTTTGCCCCACCACACTCACCGTCAACCTCCTCGAGAAGCGCTTCCTAGCAGCAGAGAAAAACATAGTTGCTGTAGGAGCCTCTCGTCGTGACCCTCGCACCCCCGTCTTTGAGGGGTGTTCCCCCTCCCCCCTCTTGCCCTCTGTTGCTTCTGCTGCTGCTGCCGACCTCGTTGGTTTCTACGAGGTCGGCGCTACGTCTGCCCCTAGCGGGAGACGCCGCACCGGCAAGGGCAAGGGGGGCAAGGGCGCTGGAGGGGCTAGCGAGGCCGGTGGAGGTGGTGGTGGTAGTGGTGGCGGGGGTGGAGGTGTCGGTGGCAGCAGTGGAGGTGGAGGAGGCGGCGGCGGTGGCGGAGGGAGCGGAGGTGGTGGAGGCGGCGGAGGTGTCGGAGGCGACGGAGGTGGCGGAGGCGGCGAAGGTATCGGAGGCGGCGGCGGCAGCAGTGGACCTGGTCGCGGCTCTGCGCAGAGGAGTGGCTCCGATGGTGGTCCGCGCCAGCAGCAGCAGCGCAGTCGTGAGACCCTGTCCCCTCAGCAGCTTCGTGAGTGGTACGCTGCGCGTCAGCGCGATGGGGGTACTGGTCCCTGCACCTACATTCTCCGTACCAGCAACCGCGCTGGTGAGCAGTGCGGGGGCCCGCACTCCACCCAGCGCTGCTTCGGCCGTCTGACGGACGCGTGGCGGCACCAGTTCCCAGAGGCCTCTGAGATCCCTCGCTGGGGAGAGCTGTCTAGGGCGGGGGTTGCTATCTTTGGTCTTGATTTTGATGCTATTCTTGCTGCCATGTATGCTGTTGCTGATAGTGTTGAGGGTGACTGTTACCTGTGTGTTCCGCCTGACCCGGGCATTGAGACTACTGCTCTAGGTGCTGGTGAGGCTGCTGCTCTAGGTGCTAGCGTGTCTGCTGCCCCAGGTGCTGGTGAGTCTGCCCTCTCAGGTACCACGTCGGCTCAAGCCTTACACACCTTCACCCTTGACTCGGGTGCTTCCCGCTCCTTCTTTCGAGACCGCACCACACTTACGCCGCTTAGTCGGCCGGTTGCGGTCTCCCTTGCGGACCCCTCTGGGGATCGTGTCCTTGCTAGCTTCTCCACTGTCTTACCGTGTTCGGCAGCCCCCTCTGGCACCCTGTCAGGTCTCTACCTCCCCTCGTTCTCTACGATCTTGGTGAGAGGAGCTGATCTACAGGATAAGGGGGTTGACCAGTTCACTCCTGCAAGACAGCGGGTGACCCACTGCACGTGTGCTCGGACAGGCCGACACTTGGCCACGTTCACCCGTCAGCCGGGGTCGAGCCTGTACACCCTCACTACTGAGTCTCCTCCGGCTGCTGAGCCTGGTCAGGTCGCTGCGTCGAGTCAGGTGTTTGCTGCAGCGTCCAAGTCTAATCCTGAGTTTGCTCCCTCCTCGTGTTGTCTCCTATCTCACTAGACTCTCCTTTGGCACCACCGCCTTGGTCACCCCTCTCTGCCTCGTCTCCGAGGCATGGCTGTCAAATCATAATGTTCTGTAGGCTGTAGTGGGGTAGACTATATGGGGTACACATTTCTAGGGTTGCATATTTGTACCACATTCCATTCCTTAGTGCATCATTCTCGTTTCAATTTTCACATGGTATCGAGCGGGTTCCCTCGTGGGAACTGTGCCTAGGGCCCACCAAGTCGAAAGTTTTTTTTTTTCCTGCCCGGAGCGCGCTCAGCCCGAGTCGCGCTCCCTTCTCTGACTTCGTCGAGCCGCCCTAGCGGCCAAGTCGCGCCGCCTTAGCGGCCCCTGATTCGTCGCCCGAGCGACCCCGTCGCCCTACCTACGCACCGGCCCCGTCGCCCTACATTTGCACCGGCCCCGTCGCCCTACCTTCGACCCGGCCCCGTCGCCCTACCTGCGCCCCGGCCCCGGCCCCGTCGCCCCGCCTACGCAGCCAAGCCGCCCGCGCCGCTAAGCAGCCCGAGCCGCGCGTTCCGCTCGAGCCGCCTGAGCCGCCCGAGCCACCCGAGCCGCCCGAGCCGCCCGAGCCGCCCGAGCCACCCGAGCCGCCCGAGCCGCCCGAGCCGCCTGAGCAGCTGAGGAGCCGAGACGCGGGTGCCGCCGAGCCGCAGTTGCTGCCGAGCCGCCCGAGCTGCCCGAACCGCCCTGTCTGATGAGCGCAGCGCCTCTGTCAGTTCACTGCCCCTGCTCTACAGTTAGCGCTGCTAGTCTACTGCTGTCATGGCTACCCCCAGTGTTCTCACTTTTGACGCTGAGGGTCGGGCCATTGACTTTGACGTCTGGGTAGATGACCTGCAGCTTTTCCTACAGTGCGATAGGGCAGACGGTCTCTCCCTCTTTGACCTCACGTCTGGTGCTTCCCCTGCCCCTGCTACCGATGCTGACGCCACTGTTCGCTCACAGTGGGCCACTAGCGATGCTGCTGCACGTCTTGTTGTGCGTCGCAACCTCCCTACCACTGAGCGCGCACACTTTAGTCGGTACAAGAGTGCTCAGACCTTGTACGACGCTGTATTTGCGCGCTACTCTTCCCCTGCCACTGCTGCACTGAGCCGCCTCATGCTACCGTACCTCTTCCCTGACCTTGCTGCCTTTCCCACAGTTGCTGACCTCATGACGCACCTCCGCACTAGTGACACTCGCTACCGCGCTGCGCTTCCTGCTGATTTCTGCGCCAAGAACCGCCCCCCCATGTACATCACTCTCTACTACATAGTCAACCGCCTCCCTGACTCCCTTCGTGTAGTCAGAGACCACTTCCTCTCAGTCTGTCCCACCACTCTCATTATTGACCTCCTCGAGAAGGCCCTCTTAGCAGCGGAGAAGAGCATAGTCGCTGTAGGAGCCTCTCGTGGTGACCCTCGCACCCCCATCTTTGAGGGGTGTTCCCCCTCCCCCCTTTTGCCCTCTGTTGCCTCTGCTGCTGCGGCCGACCTCGTTGGGCTTGAGGCGGTCGCTGCGGCGTCTACCCCTAGCGGGAGACGCCGCCCTGGCAAGGGCAAGGGGGGCAGGGGCGCTGGAGGAGCTAGCGGGGGCGGTGGAGGCGGCGGTGGAGGCAGCGGAGGGAGTGGGGGTGGCGGTGGGAGTGGTGGCGGGGGTGGAGGTGTCGGTGGCGGTAGTGGAGGCTGAGGCGATAGCGGTGGGAGCGGAGGCGGCGGTGGTGGCGGAGGTGGAGGAGGCGGTGGTGGAGGAGGTGGAGCTGGTCGGGGTGGCGCTACGCAGCGGGGCGGCTCCGGTGGTGGTCAGCGCCAGCAGCAGCAACAGCAGCAGCAGCAGCAGCGTTCTCGGGACATCCCCCCCCCTCAGCAGCTCCGTGAGTGGTACGCTGCACGTCAGCGTGGTGGGGGTACCGGTCCGTGCACCTACGTCCTACGCACCGGCGACCGCGCGGGTGAGCAGTGTGGGGGTGCACACCCCACCCAGCGCTGCTTTGGCCGTCTGACGGACGCTTGGCTTCACCAGTTCCCGGAGGCCACTGAGATCCCCCGCTGGGGTGAGCTGTCTAGGGCGGGTGTAGCTATCTTTGATCTTGACTTTGATGCTATTCTTGCTGCCATGTATGGTGTGACTATTAGTGATGAGGGTGACTGTTACCGGTATTTCCCGCACGACCCGGGCATTGAGACTGCTGCTCTAGGTACTGGTGAGGGTGGTGCTCTAGGTGCCAGTGAGGCTGCTGCTCTAGGTGCCAGTGCGTCTGCATCCTCAGGTGCTGGTGAGTCTGCGCTCTCAGGTACCGCTTGGTCGGCCGGTTGCAGTCTCCCTGGCAGACCCCTCTGGGGGTGCTGTCCTTTCTCACTTCTCCACTGTCCTCCCGTGTTCGGCGGCCCCCTCTGGCACCTTGTCTGGTCTTTACCTCCCCTCGTTCTCTACGAACCTGGTGAGTGGTGCTGACCTACAGGATGCGGGGGCTCACCAGTTTACTCCTGCAATTCAGCGGGTGACCCACTGCTCGGACGCTCGCACAGGCCGACACCTGGCCACTTTTACGCGTCGGCCGGGGTCGAGCCAGTACACCCTGACCACTGAGTCTCCTCCTGTCCTTGCGTCTGGTCAGGTAGCTGCGTCGGGTCAGGTGCTTGCTGCAGCGTCCAGGTCTGGTCCTGAGTCTGCCCCGTGCTCGTGTCGCCTCCTGTCTCACGAGACTCTCCTCTGGCACCACCGCCTTGGTCACCCCTCCCTGCCTCGTCTCCGAGGCATGGCCTCCCGTGTCCTTGTCTCTGGTCTTCCCCGGTCCCTCCCTCCCCTTCCTCCGGGGCCTGGCCCTACCTGCGCCCCCTGTGTCAAGGGGCGGCTGCGTGCTGCCCCTCACTCCTTTCAGTTTCCCCCGACAGAGGCCCCGCTGTAGACGCTTCACATGGACGTGTGGGGCCCAGCCCGCGTCCGTGGACAGGGTCATGAGCGCTACTTCCTGCTGGTGGTTGACGACTTCTCGCGTTACACCACAATCCTCCCCTTGCGCAGCAAGGGTGATGTCACTGAGGTGTTGATCGACTGAATCCGCGCAACTCGTCTCCAGCTCAGGAGGAGCTTCGGCTCGGACTTTCCTGTTCTGCGTCTGCACTCTGACCGAGGCGGAGAGTTCTCCTCTGGCCTTCTGCGAGCCTACTATCGTGCGCGAGGCATCCGCCAGACCTTCACGCTTCCGGACTCTCCACAGCAAAATGGGATTGCTGAGCGCCGCATTGGCATGGTCATGGACGTCGCCCGTACGTCCATGATGCATGCGGCTGCCCCCCATTTTCTGTGGCCTTTTGCGGTTCGGTACGCGGCGCATCAGATCAACCTTCACCCCAGGGTCTCCATGCCGGAGACCTCCCCAGCTTTGCTGTGGACGGGGAAGGTAGGCGATGCGTCTGCGTTCCGTGTCTGGGGATCTCGGGCGTTTGTCCGCGACTTGTCTGCGGACAAGCTGTCCCCTCGTGCTGCTCCCTGTGTCTTCCTTGGCTTCCCCCCTGACACGCCAGGGTGGCAGTTCTAACACCCCACCTCTCGTCGTGTTCTGTCCTCCCAGGACGTCACGTTTGATGAGTCGGTCCCCTACTATCGCCTCTTCCCCTTACCACACTCCGTCCCTCCCCCCGCCACCGCTCTTCCTTGTGCCAGGTCCCCCCCCGGTAGACCCCCTCCCCCCTCAGGGTCCTGCCCCTTCAGGTTTGTCCCAGGTAGACGCAGTCGAGCCTGTCTAGGTTACTGGTGACTCTGGTGATGCTGCGGGTGCTGAGCCTGGGGGAACTGAGCGTGTGGTTGCTACGCCTGGGGGTGCTGGGCCTTCGGGTGGTACTACTGGGGGTGTTGAGCCTGGGGGTGCTGAGACTGGGGGTGCTGAGCCTGGGGGTGCTACACCTGGGGGTGCTGAGCCTGGGGGTGCTACGCTTGGGGGTGCTGAGCCTGGGGGTGCTACGCCCGGGGGTGCTGAGCCTGGGGGTGCTGAGCCTGGGGGTGCCACGTCTGGAGCTGCTGAGCCTGGGGTTGCGGAGCCGGCGGCCGCTGGGCCTGCTTGTGTGGCGTCTGGTGGTGCTGGACCTGGAGGTACTACGGGTGCTTCGTCTCGGCGGGAGCCACTCTCTTCACAGGAGCTGCGCGAGTGGTTTGCCCGGCGCTGGAGGCGTTCTGCTGGAGCTGGAGCTTCTTCGGCTGCTGAGGGTGCTGGTGCCGCCGGTCGTGGAGGTGCTCGTACTGGGAGTGCTGGAGCTGCTGGGCCTGCAGGTACAACTGGAGCTGGAGCTGCTGCGGGTGTTGGCGCTGAGGCTACTACTGTCAGTCCTGGCGGCTGTCCTGCTGCGGATGACGCTTGTGCTGCTGGAGGTACTGCAACTGGAGGTACTATTGGCGCTGGTGCTGCCATTGAAGGTGTTGGTGCTGTCCCTGCTGTGTCTCGAGTCGCCGCGCGCCCTTGGCCGTACTTCGTTCCGCTTCTTCAGCAGGTTCTTGGTCTCCCGCCTTCTACTAGTCCTCCTCCTCCCTTAGAGTGTCCACCGCCTGACCCGTCACAGCTACAGTTACTGCCGGCCTCCCCACTGCCAGCTCCGTCTCCCTACGCTGGTCCTACAGGAGGTCTTGCTGAGCGTCGTGAGTCTGCGTCTCGCCCTCCGTCGCCTGTCCGTGCTGCTCGCACTAGTGGTCGCGGTTTGCGTCAGCGTCCTCCTCCTGTCCCTGGCACGCACTGGATGTCTCTGCGTCCGTCCACTGCTCCTCTGCGTGCCCCTTTGCCTTCTCCTCCTGAGTCTTCTCTTCCTGCTCTTGCCGACCCGGAGTCGGACTCTCTTCGTGCTGCCAGTCCTACTGTCACGCGTCTCCTTGCTATTGTCGTCACTGACCCTTCTTTTGAGTCCACTGCTGCGTCTGCCCTAGTTGCTGAGCTCGTCGACTTTGCTGCTCGCAGTCGTCTAGACTACGCTGCTAGTCTTGTCGCTGAGTCTGAGTTTGTCTGTCCTCCGTCCGTCGGGGGTGAGTGTGCCCTTGGCACGGACGTCCTTGAGGACAGGCAGGAGGAGTTCCAGTGTCTGGCTGCTGCTTCACCTCATCTCGTGTCCGTACTGCTTACACCTGAGGGAGACCCGGATGCACTTCACATCCCGACTCCGCGCTCTTACGCGGAGGCGATAGAGGGTCCCTACTCCTCTCAGTGGCAGGCAGCTATGGATGCAGAGATGGCTTCTTGGAAGTCCACAGGCACCTACGTTGACGCGGTTCCCCCACCTGGGGCGAACATCGTCAGTGGCATGTGGATCTTCAGGGTGAAGCGGCCGCCAGGTTCTCCAACTGTCTTCAAGGCGTGGTACGTGGCTCGTGGCTTCAGTGAGCGGCAGGGAGTTGACTACTTTTAGACCTTCTCTCCCACCCCGAAGATGACCACTCTTCGGGTGCTGTTGCACATAGCCGCTCAGCGCGACTACGAGCTTCACTCTCTTGACTTCAGCACTGCTTTCTTGCAGGGTAGCCTGCACGAGGAGATCTGGTTGCGCCGCCCACCTGGCTTCACTGGGACTTTTCCTCCTGGCACCCAGTGGAGCCTCCGGCGGCCAGTCTCCGGTCTCCGCCGGGCACCGCGTGAGTGGCACGACACACTGAGGACTACGCTTGCGGCTCTTGGGTTTGCTCCCTCTACTACCGACCCGTCGCTGTTTCTGCGCATCGACACCTCTTTGCCGCCGTTCTACATCCTTGTGTGCGTCGACGACTTGGTCTTTGCCACTGCTGACACTGCTGGACTCGCCCACGTTAAGTCTGAGCTGCAGAAGAGACACACGTGCACAGACCTGGGTGAACTGCGCAGCTACCTTGGCTTGCAGATCACCTGGGACAGAGCACGCCGCAGCATTACCCTGACTCAGTCACACATGGTGCAGCAGGTCCTTCAGCGCTTCGGCTTCACGTACTCCTCGCCTTAGGCCACTCCTCTGTCTACTCGCCACTCGCTCTCAGCTCTGCCTTCGGATGAGTCCGTAGAGTCGAGTGGCCCGTACCCAGAGCTTGTTGGCTGCCTCATGTACCTGATGACCTGCACACGACCTGACCTTGCGTACCCTCTTAGCATTCTTGCACGCTATGTTGCTCCTGGGAGACACAGACCGGAGCACATGGCTGCAGCGAAGAGGGTGTTGCGCTACTTGTGCAGTACATCGGGCATGGGGCTAGTGCTTGGAGGGCAGAGTCCAGTGGTCCTCACTGGGCACGCAGACGCTTCTTGGGCTGACGACCAGGCTATACAGCGGTCATCACAGGGTTACACCTTCAGCCTTGGTTCCGGCTCTGTTTCGTGGCGGGCTACTCGCTCGTCTTCTGTTCTCGGCTCCAGTTGTGAGGCTGAGATCTACGCAGGAGCCATGGCTGCTCAGTAGCTTCGCTGGCTCACCTACCTGCTGACTAACCTCGGAGAGCTGCCTCGTTCTCCTCCAGTGCTGTACGTAGACAACAAGGCCTTGCTGGCCTTGTGTCGGGAGCAGCGCCTGGAGCATAGAACGAAGCACATTGCTCTCCGCTACTTTCTTGCTCGTGAGCTGCAGCAGCGTAGTCAGTTGCGACTTGCGTACGTGGCCTCTGAGGCCAACACTGCTGATATCTTCACTAAGGCACTTGCGCCTTGTGATCATCACCGCTTCTGTACTCAGCTTGGTCTTGTGCCTGCCTTGCCTCACTTGCTCACTTCTTGACCTTGCTTGTACTGTCACATATATATACTCCTGCTCTTGCTTTTTTAGCCTTTTATATACATATGTGCTCCTGCATGTGAACTGGCCTTGTGGCCTTGAACTTGTGCTCTGAATGTGTGGTGACTTTGTGATCCACCCTGAGCTTGCTTTGCTTTACTTTGCTTGATTGGTCTTGTGACTCCTTGATCTCCCCCACTTTGCCTATGGGGGTGTGTTAGAACATTATAGCTTATACATTAGTGTAGGCTGTAGTGGGGTAGCCCATAAGGGGTACAACCCAATTAGGGTTAGTACTTGTACCCAACTCTTTTATAGTCCAATCATTCTCGTTCGCTTTTCTCAAGCACTCCTCACTGCAGCAAATGAAGCATGCAGTACCGAGGCTGGAGATGAAAGGGCGGTAGTGATGCGAAGGGTCGTACGGTTAACAGAGGATCTGGACCGTCGCGCAAACAACATCAAGCAGCAGTAGTGGCGAGCTTTCTGCCCGAACGATTTCGTAACCACCTGGAGTCGCACGGTTGTATTTTGCCGTAATAAGGAAATGCACCCCTTAGAGTACATGGCTAGTTATGTCGATTCATATTCCTTCCTGTACTCCTATTTATACCCTTGTACTTGCATATTTTAATTCATCTCAAACATTTTACATTCACTCTGCTATTGAGGTCAAGGGCCCACCACCACGAATCATTAGTGCGCAAAATTTCCTGAGACGATCCTAGGAACGATCAAAATCTGATTGCAGCAAGATATAGTATGATATAATCGATATCTGATAAGAATAACATTCTCTCACAATATTTGAGATTTTCTTGCAACTTGAGTATACCCGGGTAAAAAATCAATGCCTGTTATCAATGTGCGCCAATAGCGAATCATTCTGCCATACCCATCGTTTGAGCTGGTTGCACCATCGGGTCTTAAGGGAGAGATTCCTATCTGCACATTCGTCAGACAGAAGTGCATCAGGGCTATTCCAGGTATACCACGGCTTTCGCTGGTCCTTCGACCGGGCTGGTTCAAGCAAATGTCCCTCTCTTTCTCCCATCAACTGCTGCAGCAATGTTGATTTAATGGCACATTGACAGCGTTTGACGACAATAAATTATATTGTTCTGTTGTTATCGTACACCTAACGCGCTGCAGCGATGGCTCATATAATGCGCCGGTTGAGGCCACAGACTCGATTGTTTCTTAGCCTTCAGCGGTCATTTAGCTCCACAGCAGCCGGGACGGGTGAGAGGCCGTACAATGCCTGTCAAGGTTAAACGCGTTTTATCAGCTGACCAGATGTTCCTCGATGAATGCGCATGCAGGGGACCCAAACTTTTTGGAGTCCGTTGATATTTATTTCGACAAGGCTGCTGCCATCTGCCATGTGCCAGGGGACATCCTGGGACAGATAAAGGTATTTCTTCGGAAAAAAATGCAACTTTGTCCCGGGATATGTTATGAAATCACTGTTGCTAACCATCTAGTATTCTTCGCAACTTCACCAGGGATGCAACAATGTTCTCAAGGTTCAGTTTCCACTGAAAATGTCGAATGGCACGGTCGAGCTGATCGAAGGCTACCGAGCACAGCACTCTCATCACAGGCTTCCAGGTGAGCCCTTTGAATGAGTCTTTTGGCATTACAGGCTAAAAAATCCAGAAGGTAACTTACGTTTGTCTTGTAGGCTGTAGTGGGGTAGCCCATATGGGGTACACATTTCTAGGGTTGCATATTTGTACCACATTCCATTCCTTAGTGCATCATTCTCGTTTCAGTTTTCACAATGGCCTCCCGTGTCCTTGTCTCTGGTCTCCCTCGGTCTCTCCCTCCCCTGCCTTCGGGGCCTGCCCCTACCTGCGTCCCCTACGTCGAGGGGCGACAGCGCGCCGCCCCTCACTCCTCCAAGTTTCCTCCGACAGAGGCTCCGTTGCAGACTCTTCACATGGACGTGTGGGGCCCCGCCCGCGTCCGTGGCCAGGGGCACGAGCGGTACTTCCTGTTGGTGGTTGACGACTACTCGCGTTACACCACGGTCTTCCCCTTGCGCAGCAAGGGCGACGTCACTGAGGTGTTGATCGACTGGATCCGCGCAGCTCGTCTCCAGCTCAGAGAGAGTTTCGGCTCCGACTTTTTTGTTCTGCGTCCGCACTCTGACAGAGGCGGGGAGTTTTCCTCTGCCCGTCTGGGAGCCTTCTGTCGTGCACAGGGCATCCGCCAGACCTTCACGCTTCTGGCCTCTCCACAGCAAAATGGGATTGCTGAGCGCCGCATTGGTATGGTCATGGACGTCGCTCGTACGTCCATGATCCATGCGGCTACCCCCGATTTTCTGTGGCCGTTTGCGGTTCAGTACGCCGCGCATCTGCTCAACCTTCAGCCCCGGGTCTCCTTGCCAGAGACCTCCCCCACCTTGCGGTGGACGGGGAAGGATGGCGATGCATCTGCGTTTCGGGTCTGGGGATCTCAGGCGTTTGTCCGCGACTTGTCAGCGGACAAGCTGTCTCCCCGTGCTGTTCCCTGCGTCTTCCTTGGCTTCCCCCCTGACGCGCCTGGTTGGCAGTTTTACCACCCCACCTCGCGCCGTGTTCTTTCCTCCCAGGACGTCACCTTTGACGAGTCGGTGCCTTACTACCGTCTCTTCCCTTACCGCGCTGCGCCCCTTCCCCCGCCGCCGCTCTTCCTTGTGCCAGGTCCTCCCCCGGTAGACCCCCTCCCCCCTCAGGGTCCTGCCCCGTCAGGTGTTTCCAAGGTAGACGCAGCCGAGCCTGTCAAGGTTGCTGTTGAGTCTGGTGCTGCTAGAGGTGCTGAGCCTGCGGGTGCTGAGTATGGGGGTGCTCAGCCTGGGGGTGCTGAGACTGGGGGTGCTGAGACTGGGGGTGCTGAGCCTGGGGGTGCTGAGTCTGGAGGTGCTGAGCCTGGGGTTGCGAAGCCTGGGGGTGCGGAGCCTGGGGGTGCGGAGCCTGGGGGCGCTGGGTCTGCTTGTGTGGCCGCCGGCGGTGCTTCGTCGAGGCAGGAGCCACTCTTGTCAAACATTATATATGTTGTGCTTGTTTAGGCTACAGTGGGTTAGCCTATAGGGGGTACACAATTCTAGGGTTAGGTACTTGTACTGATTTCACTGTTAGTTCAATCATTCCTGTTCCTTCATTTCAACATGGTATAGCGCAGGTCCTTCGCTAGGACCGTTTTTTTTAGGGCCCACCACTACCTACCTACCTACTTACCTAACTGCGCCCTAGGGCGCCTCGTTTTTCACGGCCCCCTAAGGCCCCGCGACCCGCCCCTTAGCGACTCGCGCGCCGCCCCTGAAGGCCCCGTCGGCCCACGCGCTCGCCCCTTACGGCCCCGCGCTCGCCCCTTAGCGGCCCTGTTGGCCCCGTGATCGCCCCTAACGGCCCCGTCGGCCCCGCGCTCACCTCCCTTGAGGCCCCTGTCGGCCCCGCGCTCGCCCTTAGCGGCCCCGATCGGCCCCGCGCTTGCCCCTAGAGGCCCTGATCGGCCCCGCGCTCGCCCTTAGCGGCCCCTTACGGCCCCGCGCTCGCCTCTAGAGGCCCCGATCGGTCCCGCGCTCGCCCCTAGAGGCCCCGAACGGCCCCCCCCAGAAATGAGCCGCCCGACCCGAGCAGCCCGAACCGAGCCGCCCAGCCCGAACCGAGCCGCCCGAACCGAGCCGCCAAGCCTAAACCGAGCCGCGCCGCCTGAACCTAGCCGCGCCGCCCTTCCCGAGCCGCGCCGCCCTACCTGAACCGAGCCGCGCCGCCCGTACTGGACCGAGCCGCCCTACCTGAGTCGCACTGCCTACTGTTTTTGGGGTGCCCCTACTGCTATTACTCCTACTACTGCTATGGCTAGCCCTCCTGTGCTAGCTTTCGATGCTGAGGGCCGCCCAGTGAAGTTCAAAACCTGGCTAGATGACCTACACCTCTTCCTACAGCTCACTGCCAAGGAGGACATCTCACTGTACGATCACGCCCTAGGCCATGCTCCTGCTCCTGCTGCTACTGCTGACAGCACTGCCCGCTCACAGTGGCAGACTCGTGACGCCCACGCTCGCTTTGCTATTCGCAACTCCCTGCCGATAGATGAGCGCGAGCACTTTGGGCAGCACAAGACTGCACAGGCACTGTACACTGCTGTCGTTGCCCGCTACTCCTCACCGGCCTCTGCCGCACTAGGCCGTCTCTCTCTTCCCTACCTGTTCCCCGACTTAGCCTCTTTCCACACAGTCGCTGACCTCATTACGCACCTCCGCACTAATGAGGCTCGCTTCCGCGCCGCCATGCCTGATGAGTTCCTTGCCAAGAACCCACCCCCACTCTGGCTCACTCTCTACCACCTAGTCACCCGCCTCCTTGACACTCTGCGCTCAGTCAGGGACCACTTCCTAGCTCGCTGCCCCACTGAGCTCACCATCGCCCTCCTCGAGAAGGAACTGCTTGCAGCTGAGGCAAGCATAGTCACTGTAGGTGCCTCTCGTGGCGACCCCCGTACCCCGTTCTTTGAGGGGTGCTCTCCTTCCCCCCTTCTTCCCTCTGTTGCCTCTGCTGCTGCTGTCGACTTCCTTGGTGCTGAGAAGGTCGGGACTGCGTCTGCTTCAAGCGGGCGCCGCAGCGGCAAGGGCAAAGGGGGCAAGGGCGGTGGCGGTGACAGCAGGGGAGGCGGTGGTGGGGGCGGTGGCGGCGGTGGGGGTGGTGGCGCGACTGGAGGGGCTAGTGGCAGCGGTGGGGGTGGTGGCGGCAGTGGCAGGGGAGGTGGCAGGGGCGGAGGCGGTGGTGGGGGTGGCGGTGGACGCGGCGACGGCAGGGGTTGGGGTGGTCGAGGAGGTGGCGGCGGCGGTGGTGGTCATGGAGGCGCTGGCGGTGGCCAGGGCCAGCAGCACACTCCGTCGCCCCAGGAGGTCCGTGAGTGGTACTCTCAGCACAGGGGGGGGGGGTGGCTTTAGCTGCACGTAAGTCATTCGCACTGGTGACCGCACTGGTCAGCCGTGTGGGGGACCGCACGCCACACAGCGCTGCTTCGCTCGTCTCAACGACGCTTGGCATGTTCAGTTCCCTCATGCCACTAAGCTGCCCCGCTGGGTTGATCTCCTGAAGAAGGGGATTGATATCTATGCTCTAGACTTTGATGCTATTCTCACTGCTGTGTATGTGATGTCTACTAGAGGAGAGGGTGCTGAGTACCTGTGTGTGCCGCCCGACCCGGGCATTAGGACTAGTGCGTCTGCCGCTCCAGGTACTCGCGTGTCTGTTACCCTAGGTGCTGGTGAGCTAGCTGCTCTAGGAGCTTGTGCGTCTGCCCCCCCTGGTACTGAGTCGACGGCAGCACTGCACACCTTCACACTGGACTCAGGTGCTTCTCGCTGCTTCTTTCGTGACCGCACTGCCCTTGAGCCGCTTGCTCGGCCAGTTGCTGTCTCCCTCGCTGACCCCTCTGGGGGTCCGGTCATTGCAACCTCCTCCACTGTCCTTCCCTAACCTGCGGTCCCGTCCGGCACACTGTCAGGTCTCCAACTCCCCTCGTTCTCTACGAACTTGGTGGCAGGTAGTGCACTCCAGGACGGGGGTGTTCACCAATTCACCCCTACCTACGAGCGCGTGACACACTGCACGTGTGCTCGTACGGGCCGCCACTTGGCTACCTTCACTCGGCAGCCGGGGTCGGACCTGTACACACTGACCACAGATTCCCCTCAGGTCGCTGCGTCTGCGTCTGCGTTCGCGTCAGGTCAGTTGTCTGCCCACTGCTCGTGTCGCTCTCTGGCGCACGAGACTGTCCTCTGGCGCCACCGACTTGGCCACCTGTCTGTGCAGCGCCTTCGTGCCATGCACTCCCGGTACCTTGTCTCCGGTCTTCCCAGAGTCCTCCCTCCCCTCCCACCCTCGCCTGCTCCTCCCTGTCTTCCCTGCGTCGAGGGGCGGCAGCGCGCCGCTCCTCACTCCTCCTCGTTTCCCTCGACGACTGCTCCCTTGCAGACGCTCCACATGGACGTGTGGGGCCCTGCCCGCTTCCGTGGTCAGGGTCAGGAGAGGTACTTCCTGATAGTTGTTGACGACTACTTGCGCTACACCACGGTCTTCCTCTTGCGCACCAAGGGTGAGGTCCCTGATGTCTTGATCCCTTGGATCCACAAAGCTCGTCTCCAGCTCAGCGAGCGTTTCCACTCGGACTTTCCTGTCTTGCGCTTGCACTCTGACAGAGGTGGTGAGTTCTCCTCCGACCTCTTGGCAGCCTACTGTGCTGAGCACGGCATTGAGCAGTCGTTCACGCTTCCGGCCTCTCCACAGCAGAATGGGATTGCAGAGCGCCGCATTGGCCTGGTCATGGAGGTCGCCCGTACCTCCTTGATCCATGCGGCTGCCCCCAACTTTCTGTGGCCGTTTGCGGTCCAGTACGCTGCGCATCAGCTCAACCTCTGGCCCCGTGTCTCCTTGCCGGAGACCTCGCCCACACTGCTGTGGACGGGGGAGGTTGGCGATGCGTCGCATTTCCGGGTCTGGGGATCTCGAGCTTTTGTCCGCGATACGTCTCTGGACAAGCTCTCCTCCCGTGCTGTTCCCTGCGTCTTCCTCGGCTTTGTCCCGGACGCGCCTGGTTGGCAGTTTTACCACGCCACCTCGCGCCGAGTCTT